GAGAGATACAACCACGATCAGATGATAAGAGCAGGTTATTTGTAACTCTAATGAGAGCAGTCTCGGTATTATGATACGGTCTAAATCCTGACTGGAAATCCTCACAGATACCATTTTTCTCTAAGAAGGAATATAATTGTGAGGATATACTATCTTTTCTAGTATCTTGGACAGAAAAGGGAGATTCGAGATCGGTCTGTAATTAACTAGTTCTTTGGGGTCAAGTTGTGTTTTTTTGATGAGAGGCTTAATAACAGCCAGTTTGAAGGTTTTGGGGACATATCCTAATGACAATAGCTATGTTTCCATCCAAAGATGCAAATTTAACTTATGCGCAAAACTGGAATATCGCTTAAAATATTTGCGAATAAAGCACCGTTTCCATCCAACGAGTCAAAGAAATATTTAGTGCCAGTTCATCAGGAAGTGACGATTTTGTTCTCTAAGTCAATTGAAAAAGGTGCAGCACTCACTCTTGAAGGGGTGAAAACTTTATTGATTAAAATTACGTTTTGGCCGTTATCCAGGCCTTCATCAGATATCAAGAACAGCAATACCAAACCATGGCTGCGTCCGAAATGGCATACTCAATGAGTAGGTACTTAATTTCCATAAGTAGTTACTTAACGAGCGCTAAAAGAGTACATACTCTACAGCCAAATCTCGAGTATGAATGCGATCTGCCATGTTTACGTTATAATGTGATCTATGACGTTATAACACGCGCAACAACTTAACAGATATTAGCGACAGGTTTAATTCATCTATCTGTAAACATTTTGATGTTTATGAAATTTCCTCATTTTGTAGTCTTGTTGAAGAAACAGCTGCCCTTTTATTGTGATTGTAGTATAACCAATCAATTTTGTGTCGATTTAAGTTTTTATATTTTTAACTCTACTAAAATGACCCACAGTTTAATCCTTAAAGATATTATTTTTTTATCACGAAAACTCAAAATCGTTATCTCGTGAATATGTTAATTTCTTTATTTTATGTGCAAAATTGTTCATCCACAAGCAAAACTGGCTTAAATCTCCTTTGTTTTCCTCTTTTTCTTGTTGAATTTCTCTCGTTTCATCCCTCCGGCTTATAAATAACAAAACAACAAAGACAAATGTTATTTTTATAATGCATTATGGTTATATGAATATTATGATTATTCAAAGATA